CTCTACCACTCACTACGTTAGATTTTATAAAAAGGCCTAAATTCTAACGGCCGTTAGATATTTCAACGTACTATACCTTAGAATACTCAATATTACAGCCCAAAAATTCACAATTTATATAGTCACGGGTCTTAGCTTATTTGTAACGTTTGTAACCTAACTTAGGGCCCCAGACCCACTACTGGGTCGAAGACTCCGACCCGGACTTAACCCAGTCTGGGTTAGGTTGGGTCATGCGGAAGTCTATTCTTTAGTGAGATAACGCGCCGGTATACACGATATATATTATATAGGATGCTCTTAATAAGCTTAAATAAAAAATTATATAATATAGCTACCCTATTTATCTAACTTAAATCCTATTAAGAATCTATAGGCGCTACTAAACGCCGAAATATTAAAGCGTTACCCTAGGCATATATGCCTACTAAATAATAGAGCTACGCTAGGATTACTACTTAATACTACGTAATGAGGTATAGGAAACGCTAGATATTAATATATTTAAGTATATATTAGAGACTATACTATATAGGTAGGGTAGCTGATATTATTAAGTATAAGGGCTAGTATACTAGCTATAAAATTAAATTAAATTCCGAGGTTTCTACTAGGTATTATAAAGTAGTAGGTCCTAGGCTAAAGTCCTAGAGGTTAAATACGTATAATACACTACTATAACTACGCTTAGGACTATTAGAGGTTATATAACTACCTAGGTTATATGATTTTAATAAAGTTCTATAGAGTATACGTATATAATTAGCCCGCGTCCTTAACTAATTTAAACCTAAGTAAACTTATATAGCGGTAGTTAAAATTGATACTTTTTAAGCTCTTTCCTAGAGCTTATTAATAGAGAAAGAAAGGAGAAAGATTAGTAGTACTTTAAGGAGTGTCTAATAAAAGTATACTAGGTAATACTATAGGTAAAGATAGAGAGCCTAATTTTAAGCATAGGGAGACGGTTATATACTATACGGGAGGCCAAGGGTTATTATAGACTTATCTGTAACCTAGTTAGACCTACACCTAACCTATCCTAAAGCTAGGTTCGGGTTTAGATTATACTAGGTAAATATTACGACCTCTACCTAGCTAAGAATATTAATTCGGCTTAAGATATAAGTGGATACCTTAGTATATACAGTAAAAGGATAATTTAAGACCCTACCGCCTAAAAATAGGCTAGCGTCTAGTCTCTTTATATAATATAACCTATTATACTACGCACGTAACTAGGCTATCTACCTCGCTTAGCTATCTAAATCTAGAGACTACGTGGTCTTATAGTAACCTAATAAAACGCCTAGATACCTAATTAGGTAACGAATATTATAAGTATACTACGATTTTATATCTATAATTTTAAGTATTTCTACTATAGCCGTGTCACGGGACGACCCCCACCCGACACCCCACAGCCATAATGCAAATTTCCTACTTTTTCAAATTTACGCGTATTTCTAGCCACCAAAAAAGCCCAAAAAAGCTCGTGATAAGGAGGGTCTGCCAGCTAAGGCACTAGATGCTTATAATTCGCAAGAATTTTCACCCCTACGCAAGGCTGCGGACCATTATCGCGTGTATTATTCGAAGCTTCGCGGTCGCAAAAACGGACAGACATCTCTCTCCGATCGCCCTACCACTAACAATGCATTGAATTCGAATCAGGGAAAAGCATTAAATAACTAGATCGAACTGCTGAATTCTTGTTATACACCTCTAGCCGCGGAAGAAATATAAAATTGCTACAAATCGCCAATTGAAAATAGCGGGTTCGGAGAGTGTTGTTAGTTCGATGTATAGCTATAGGCTAATACGGCGTCTACCTCGACATATTAAGCTTGTGACCTAAAAACTAAAGGAATCTTTACGAATTTAAGCCGAGGATCCTAGGGTTATTAGCTATTAGTATGATAGGCTTGCTTATCTCTATCGTAAGTATGATTTTGAACCTTATAAGATCTATAATTAGGATAAAACTAGCTTCTAAAATAGCGAAGGACTTAACCACTAACATGTTATCTCTACGCGCCAAACTACTAGTATTGCAACTAGAGATCGAGGTAAAACTATCACTAGTATTGAATATATCGCCGCTAATAGCTAGGTAATATTTCTATAGTTTCTAGTTAAAGGAAGCGTCTATATAGAAGAGTAGTATACTAGTATATTAACCTCTTCTTCGGCATACAAAATTATCTATCTAACGTCTAGTGGCTAGATAGATAGTGAGACTGCCTATCGATAGCTCTGCTCGTTTTATAAAGCTACAAAAAATCGCGTACGACGCGGGCGACTAAGGCTTTTGCTAATAGATAATTATATATTATATATAACTATCGAATTTCTCGATTTTTGTAAGGAAAACTTAATTATTCGTTAGTATTTTATACCTCTCACGACTTATCTATATCAGCCAGTTAATACTAAGGCCTTTTTAGGTCTAAAGTCTCATTTTAAAATAGCGAATACTAAAGTTATAGCGTAGGGTAGAAGCAATAAAAAACGCGACTTCTTCCGCAATATCGATGCCGTCCGACACCGCGCTCTACAATCCAAAACTATTTAAACCTTGTTTAGATCTACTAGTATCTAACCACTAGATCCTAAATAATTTTTAGATAATTTAGGGTAGTATTCGGACGAAGAGACCTTACGCATATACGACGAGCCGTTACCCGCCTATAAATCCCTAAGTTCAGCGACCAATTCTCCGCCCAATTCTTATACGCGTATTAAAAAATTAGAAAATACGGTCTTTCCACTACTTAATAACCCTACTCCTAATTTACGAAAAATTCGGAAGCACGTACGGCGCGTAATTAGCGCTAGAAAATCGTCTCTATACAATGCGGAACTTACAGAGATAAGCCTTCGCACGCCCTTAGCCACAAAACGCCTAGGACAAAGCCAAAAAGCAAGCGCTAGGTAAAGGGAGCTACGAAGAGCCCTCTTTCATCAATTTCAGGAAATAGGCTAGTACAGCGTAGGTGTGAGAAGGAAGAAAATTCGAAGCTACGTACTTAGAGGAAAGACGTAGTGAAAATGGCGGCCGATTCGGCGGCTAAGGAATTGGAGGAAACAGCTAAAAATAAGGAGGATGATACATTATTGGCTAATAAGGCTATTGATGGGCTTTATTTCATAGATCCTAGACCTTATACGCCTAGAAAATGAGCTAGAGGTTGAAGAAATTGAAAATTTGCATTATGGCTGTGGGACACCCCCTACCCGTGAGGGTGGGGGGCGGTCCTGTGACACGGCTATTCTTTATCTCTAATTTTGATTTTCTTTACTAGACTTTTAAAATTAATAAAATAGATTATAATATATATCTATTATCGTATAGGCTATAGTACTACTAAAAAGCCTTATATATATCGACCTCCTTACTTTTCGCTTTATCTTTAATACCTATAGCTAGGCGCTACTCCCTAGTAGTAGAGGTATAATATTAGTATTATTATCTATCTCTATTATATTATTAGACCTATTAACTAGCTCCTTAGTATTACTAATTAGGTCTATCTTAACCTTATTAGGCCTCTTATCTTTCTCTTCCTTTACTATCTTAATATTATTTAAGGAAAATAATAATTTAAACTCCTTTACCTCCCGCTTTTTAGGGTTAACCCTTAAAGTATAAAGAAATATTATAACTTTCTTAATTATTTTAGACTTTATAGGACCGCGGCGATATTAGTATATATTTTACCGAGACCTAGATTACGATCTAGATTGAATTAAGTATTAGATAGCTAGAGAGCTTATATAACAAGTCTCTCGCTCTCTCTATCTATTATCTATCTAATAATATTAGTATATTATTGCTTCCTATGCTATTATTAAGATAATTCAAGTTATTTTAAAAGGTCGCTCTATACTAGTACTAGTTACTAGAATCGAGATAATATCCTATAAAGAGTAGCGATTATAGAAAGTAGTCTTAGTGCTCTTTCTAGAACTAAAGAGGCTTAATATTAATAGTATCTAAAAGCAAGTTAGTATTAGATAGAGTTAAATTATATTTAAAATTATTACTATTTAAGATAGTCACTCACTTTTTTCCTAATTAATCTTACCTACGATTTATACTTAATATCTTATTTAGTCTTAAGCTTAGCCTCCTATAGAGTAAGAGCCTATAACACTTAGGGTATATAAGATCCTCTTAGTAAGGGTTTAAGACTTCTTAAAAGAAGCTCTAGTAGTTATCCCGCTATAATTTATCATAATTATCTAATAAGAAGAATTAAAACTATGTATTAAGGGATAGTAAAATATTAATTATATAGATATAGCCTCAAATATTATCTATCTATAAGTAATACTTATCTAGCTTTAATCGGCTACCTTTAAAAGACCTAAGCATATACTATTTTTATAGAACTCGCTTCCGCTAGAGCTAATTTATTAACTTTTAAGTTAATTAACGTGTATTATAATATTTAAATACTAGATATATAGTTATATCTCGAGTCTTTAAATACTTAGTCGTGTAATTAAAGAATAGCTTAGTAATATATAGAAGATGGTCGATTTAGTGTTATTTTATATTATTTAGTAGTCCTTTTTTTATCACTATACTCTATATAAAGGGTAGGAACACTATATAAAGTCGCTTTCTTAAATAAAGAAATATTAATTCTACGAGCTCCTTGTATCTTATATTAGGATAAACTTTAGCTCCTTTATGTAGAGATTATAAAATATCATATAGCGTTACGGGCCTATATAGATAGGGGATTGATATAGCGACCCCCCTTGGGATAATGCGACCCACCCTGCCTGAGGATCCAGGCCAAGATATTTCCTGCCGGATATATTTCTGCCACTACCGACTTATGCTTCCAACACAAACTGGAGGTACTTACATTTACTATGCAGCCCTCTAATTGAATGAAGTCCCTTCCGTACTCTACCTCCTACTATGCCAACTGCATGGCACTAGTCCTAAATAGGAAATAGATGCTATTTTCAAAAGCTCTGTAGAAATGAAGGAATTGGCCTATGCAGCGGTCAGCACCCATTTTTTGTCAATTCTTAGAGAATCGCATGAGAATAGTGAAGAAATTGAGTAATTTGCATTGGATCAGCTATTTCTGGAGCCCCCTAGCGCTTCCTGAAGCGATCAGACCAGGAATCCTCGTCCCGAGATGCCTATGAAGCTATTCCCGACCCCTGAGATATAGCCATGCTCGCGGGCGAAGGCATTCGTTGCGGCGATTCCTTGCTCTGGCGTATAGTATTGCTCGAGAGGAGGTAGCGGGAGGATATGGAGGCTTGGCATCGTCGGTGGGGACTCGGGATAGCTTCAGGCTCAGAATCGGACGGCGAATTAGGCTGCGAGGAAGCTATCGTAAAGGAGAGTGAAATGCGAGAGAAATGGGTAGTAAAATGGGAGGTTTGAAGGTGTAAACAACAATTATTTTGAATTCGTTATTGGGTACTACAGTGGAACAGGAGTGACTTATTTTTACCAGAAATTTCCATAGTAATTGGAGGTACCTAAGTTGTGATATACATACAGGGTAGTGGTAGCAATAAATAAAAGTTCGAGGATGAAACCGGTGAGAAAAGCGGTCAATGGATGCCAAGATCCTCAGGCAAGGGGGGGGCCGCATTATCCAAAGGGGGGTCGCTATATCAATCGCCTATAGATATATATCGCGAGATATTAGATCTTATTTAAGATAATAGGATTTATTTTCTGAATTCTAGCGTCGCGTATTAGCCTAGGCTTATACTAACTATTTTTAGCCTACTTATTCTTAATAGTATTATTTAAATAAACTACCTTTCGGCGATCTAGAAGCTAATTATAACTTAGCTAGATAGCGTGAATAAGATAAGGAGTTTAGATAATATTAATATTATTTAGTAAAGCTTATTAGAGGGAGTTAACGAAAGATGTTCTGATCTTATTTAATATATTATTAGTTATTAATCTAAATATCCGACCTTCTAGAAACCTTATAAAATAGTAACTTAAAAATAATACTACTTACATTTAAGCTAATATATAAACTAGAAAGGCGCCTAAAACTAAAAAAACTCATTCTTAATATATCTAGTCTATACTGATAAAATAGCTAGTTATAGCTGTAAATACTAATAAAAATAGAGAAGTCTAATAATTAAGCGTACCAGAAATCTTTATATTTAATAGTAGTAGTCGAATAATATATTATTAGATATATATAACGAGACCTTCTAGTCGCTACCGAATTATATCCACGAATAGGATTATTAGAGGTAAGAATATAATTAAAAATATTCTATCTTTATAAAAGCTCCCTATATTTTTCCTTCTTATAGCACTTTAATAGCTTATAGATTCTAAGACACTTTACTATCGTTAAAATTTTTAGTAGCCTCTTTAATCTAGACTAATAGAATAAGGGTGCTTAAAGATATTATTATAACTTTTATATATAACCTTTAGTATACTATCTAGTATTTAAATACTTAGTACCTGTATAGATAGAAAGTTAGTATACGAGCTTTAAGATATAGTAGGGCCTTAGAGAGAATAGCTTAAAAGGTAAGAGGGGTGGGTATAAAGTTTTCTAAGAAATTAGCTCTTAGGCGAAATAGATATCTTAAAAGGAATAAACTAAAAGAGCTATTAATTAGCTAGATAACTATAATTATATAGGTCCGACCTTACGGGACCCTATACAACCTTCTACCCTAATTTAAAATAAATGGATTATATAATATTGTATTATACTTTAATTTATCTCTATTATTAATAATAGTTTTAGTCTTAACGTATATATCTCTTATATTTCCTACCCTTCCCCAATATAATTAGGGGATTAATACTACTCCCCCCTCCCCCCTACCTAGATTCTTAGGCTAAGTCTTTTTCTATAGATATATTTCTACCACTACCGACTATACTTCTAATATAAACTTAAGGTACTTATATGTACTATATATCCCCCTATAAAGCTCCTTTCGTACTCTACCACCTACTATATGAACTACACTGCACTAGTCCTGAATTAAAAATATATATTATTTTTAAAAACGGCCACGGCCATAGCTACCTTCCTAAGACAGTATTATAAAAAGTAATAAAATACGAGAGGAATAGGTAGGAAAGTAGGAGATTTAAAGGTATAAATAATTATTTTAAATTCCTTTTTAGGTACTATAGTAGAATAGAAGTGACTTATTTTTACTAAGGGTTTATGTAGTAATTATAGGTATCTAAGGTGGTTATATATATGTAGGGTAGCAAGTAGTAATAAATAAAAATTCAAGGTTAAAATGTGGTAAGAAACGCGGTTAATAGGTGCCTAAAATTATAGATACGGGGTTATATTAGTATCTAAAGGGTTATATCTATATTAATCCCCTATATATATTAATATCTTTTATCTTAAAAAGAGTAGTAGTAAATCGATAGAAAGGCTTAGTGTGTAAGACTGTATAGTAGTCTCTAGGTTTAGGCGTGTAAGCAAGTTAGATAGCCTAGTTATATATATAGTATAATATAGTCTATTATATAAAGAGACTAAACGCTAGCCCGTTCTACGGCCTAGCGGGAAATACTTATATATAGACTAGCCCTATTCGTAGGCGGTGAGGTTCTAGATTATCCTTTTACTATACGTCCTAATAGATCTACTTATGCCTTACGCCGAGTTAATATCCTTAGAAAGATAGAGGTACTAATATAGTGATAAAGAGAAGGTAATTAATCTACCGCTATTCTACCTTACTAAGTTTAAACTTAGGTTACTTAATATAATTATAGTATATATTAAAGCACTTTAATATGCGCTTAGTACGATAAAGTATTAAAAATATAGAATTCTAACATATCTAGATATCTTATATTAGAATAAAATAAGCCATAATTCTTAAGTTTAAAGGCCTAGAAATATTTTACGACGATAAGGGCTATAGTTAATATATATAGTAAGAATATAATATATTCTATAAGCGCGTAGTATACCCTAAAACACTATACTAAATAGGATAAATTATAACCTAGTATCTTAATAACGGTAGTCTATATAGACGGTAAGAATAGATACTAAAAAATATAGTAGATAACTTACATTTATAAGTATAGAAATAATCTCCTTCTAGCTCTAGGTTATACGATAGGTATAGGCTACGCTTATATATTAGAAATAGTTTTATCTATATCCTTAGTTTATAAATCGGCTTTAATAGACCTAAGTAGCGTATAAAGGCTAAGCTAGATTATATAGGCGAGATAAGGGATACGAATAATAACTAGGCTACCTAGTAATTAAAGAGAATTGATCGAATCTTAGATAACGTATTTCATAAGCGAGCTGGCCACCTAACCAAAAATGCTACCATTAAATTTAGCACCACAACGCTATATAATTAAAAACAAAGCTATTCAGACCTCCCTAGACACCTATTTCTCTTATGTCTAGGCGATTTACAAATACTACATCGCTGTAGCCTCCTCTTATTAGCCTGATTCGGCGTTAGGGACGAACTGCTATCACTACCTATGCCTACTTTATCGGCAATTCCTAGAACTAAGACTATCTCTATAGCCTCTAAAACCAATATGCCACCTTTATAAGCTATTCGCTTCCTTATGCGCTTCATTTTTTAGGTACTTCTTATATTAGCGGCGCGTAATTCCTAGTTTTCCTAACGTAAAATAGCCGCGCCGTATATAGCTAAATAGGCGCCTTTTATAATCTATTTAAACGCTTTATCCGCGCGTAATAGGTCCTCTTATTGCAATTTCTTAATAGAAGAAGCCTACCGGCGAACGTCCTTTATAGTACGCGGCGTCTTTAGTATAACATTAAGGCTTAAATCGCTACTATAGCTTAGAGGGGGGGGGAATATAAAGTCGGATATTAAGCTTCGAAACTACGCGTATTAGTTTAAAAGGCACTAAACTAGTAGCTACGAAGCTATTCATAATAGTTTACGGAAGTCTTATTTAGCGATTCGACTTATACTAAGCTTTAATTACGAAACTACTAGATCGGAATATACCCTTTTTAATACCGTAAAATAGCCGATATCGAGAGGCTATAAAGGATAAGCTAAATACGAAGGTACATAAATTAGTATAATATTATTTTACGAGTATATCGTATCAAATCTAGCTAAAAGATAGCTACTATAGCCGTTAAGGACAAGAAGACGATACTAACCCTTTTTTTAGCTAGTGGTCGATAGAATAAATATTTTTTAAAGCTATTCGAGACCGATAGCGTTATTTATCTACCCGTTATTACTAACTATAAATCGCTAATTAGGTAGTAATTATATATCCTTAAACTATACTACTATAAAAAACTTACCTTTAAAAATAACGTATAGCGGTAATACCTACCTAGTCGTATTTATTACTTTAATTATAGTGACCTATTCGCGATTTCTAGATTATAAAATAGCTCTCCGAGCGGAACTACTTCGCGTTATAATCTTAGGAGTAGCCGTAAGGCCGAGAGCGAAGCTAGTCTCGTCGAAAGTATAGATATCTTTATCTATAATCCTATACTTCTTAATCGTAGATTTCACGAAATTAAACCACGTTTAAATCGTGCATTTATCCTCGTATAATACTCGCCGGTAGTCGTATAATCGTGAACCACACGCTTTTAGTAGTATATTAGCTACTCCACGATTATCCAGTAAGATAATCTATTTATAAAGCAATTTCTCTTTATAAGTAGTCAATTTATGGTTATTTACGCATATCTCAGCGCGGTAGGTAATGCCATTTAGACGCGTCGTGAGCGTAGTACGGTGGACGTCAAAAACCTCCGTAGCTTTACGCATAGAGCTAAATTCCTGATTCTTAATAGCCTAAATAGCTAATAAGATTCTACCCTCTTGCTCTACGCGTATTTGAAAATTTTGAGAGCGAAATAGTGGCATGGTAGGTGGTCGAAAAAGGTGAGTCTAATTACGGGTCGCATTTTTGGTTGGGTGGCCAGCTCGCTTGGGAAATACGTTAGTCTATACTAAAGTGGTATTGTTCGATATAGTGTCGGATATAATAGCGAGATCCTAACTAATAATATCGTGCTTTTTAAAGAGGTTAATAAGTATATTGCCTAGATTTAATCCTAAATATAATCTATTAAGTGGTTTAAATCTAAGAAGGATTTCGCGGTGATTCTAGTCCTAATTAATAAATAGCCTATAATTACTATAAAGGCC